CATGGCGTTTGTCCGTTGAACTGCATGAAATTCACGCTTGATGGGCGCTCGACCCCCGCTCGAGTGTGAGACACAAGTCCTCGCTCGAGCGTGCATTCCCTCGCTCGAGCAGACTGTAAACACATGCAAGGTATTGGATACACGCTTTTCACGCTCGAGCATTACTTTACTCGCTCGAGCGGACTGTATGAACTCATAGTGTACGCTCGAGCGTGAAGTTCCTCGCTCCAGCGTGGATCCAAAATCTGGAATTTTCAGATTTGTCTCCAAGCATGAAACTCAACATTTAAAGCATCAAATTCGATCCTTTTGGACTAATTTTCTGGAAAACACTTTAAAACTCATAATATGACATGTTTCAAAGATCAATTTGCAAAATCAAAGCCCAAAGGTAAGTCAATTGAACACCATTTTCGAATAAACATCAAGAACATGATGAGCATAAGACATGGAAGTGTTTAATCAACTTCAAAGCTTCTAATACAAGAACAAAAGGGCCAATCCTTCCAAAACATGATGAAATCATGAACTATAACCCAAATATGGACATACATGTGAGGATTCTAGGAAAACAACCTCAAAATTCAACAATGTATACATGCATGCATGATTCAAGCTCACTATTCCACATTTTAAGCCATAACTTGGCTCTAGACTTCAACATTCTTCTAAACCATGCAAGAACCAACTCAATTCATAAACAAGAAGGTAAAAGCTCTACCTTAAGTCTTCAAGTTCAAGAAGGGAAGCTCAATTGTGCAATCTACTCTTCAATTCTTCAAGTTCTCCAAGTAATTCTCCAGATGAAACCAAACTTCTCCTCTCTTACTCTCTCCTACGGTTTTGGGTCTCAAGAAGGATGATGAAAAGTGATGCCAACACATGTAAATCAAGACTAAATAATTGGTCTAGCAAAGTCCACTTAATGGCATTTTGGTAAATAAGCCAACTAATGCAATTTAACATTATTTAATCTAATTTAATCATACCAATTCAAATTTCAATTAAATCTACCATAAAATCACATTAATTCTAATTATCATGAAACACTAATCAATTTCAGATTCGGCCGCCGATAAGGCCTTCAATTCACAGTTCGACACTTTAAACATGAACAGATCAATTAACAGTCCAACAGATAGAAATGCGTTTAAACTAATACACTCAATCAATCAGTTCAGAATGTCAGTCAAATCAGTTACTTAATCATGTTCAGTCACAGTTTATCAGTAATCAGTAATATTATCAGTAAACAGTGGTAAGGATTGTCACAATTATGTATCTTTCAAAACTACAAAGAGCCAAATCAATATTTTTTAGGCAAATTTGAGAGAGTGTAATTATAATTAACTCTATAACTTTGTGCAATATGTTTGATCGAGGAGTGTTTGGATTGTTGAATTTCTCAGGCAGTGGTATCAAGCATTGGGGATAACAATGGCCCTGTTTGGTAGAGCTGTGGAAAAGTGCTTATAGCTTATGCCTTAACAGCTTATAGCTTATAACTATGAATATAAGCTGATTTCTGACTTATAAATTAAGCTTCTCCTGCCACACTTAAAGAATAAGCTGATTTTTGACTTACAAAAAGCCATAAGTTGCATTGTTAAGTTAAACCAAACACATCAAAATAGCTTAAATTAAGTTGAAAGCTGAAATAAGCTGAAAAAAAGCTGCACCAAACAGGACCAATGTAATGGTGATATTGGACAATCACATCAGCAAGCCTGGTTGGTGTTGCAGCAAATTCGACGGCAGTGGATTCTTTGGAGACCAGTACTTCAATCCTGACCTTTGGATTAAAGGCCTAACCATGATGGCCTCTTTGTTTAAGGGCACCCCCAATGTTGTTGGGATGAGCTTGAGGAATGAACTTCGCGGCCCCAGAGAAAATGTCAATGATTGGTACAGGTAACAAATAGTAAGGTTAAGTTTGACAAGTTGTCAAAAAATTAAAAAGTCAAAAAGTTATTCAAAAGGTTAAAAAGTTATCACTATTTATTAAAAGTCAAAAATTACGGCTGCACAACTCTCAATCCTAATTTTTTCCTACACACTAATTTATACAATTTTTTAATACACAATTTTCTATAAAAAGTCAAAAAGTTAACCCAAATATCCATATTTTTTTTCTCAATTTTTTAGTCCAAAAAGACAAAAAAGTGCACTTACTTAGGACACCCCAAACAATTCCTAAATTACAAATACACTCACTCACTCAGTGGTTTAAAATATAGATTATCTCATATATTTTTTAAA